AGAGGGGGTGTTGGGGCGGGACACGCCTGGAGCATGGCAGCCTCCCCCAGGGCGGGGCCCAGAGCTCCCACCCCAGGGGCAGCCCCCATCACTACCCCCCAGCCATGGCCCAGGCCCTAGCAGCAGTTCCCATAGTGCCGTGGGGCAGCCACGCATGCCTCTGTGACACAGTAGGGAGTGGGGCGGATTGACCTGGGACTGTCTGCAGGGGGGAAGGGAGAGCAGGGGATGACTTTATTTGAGGGAGGATACCTGAGCCTGTAACCTGAGCTGGGAGGGGGGTGGGGCCAGGTGACACCTTTGCCCAGGAAACTGGACAAAGGCTGGGGGAGGAGGGGGGGGGAGGCTGGGTGAGACGGCTGGAGGGGGTTTCAGTTTTGGGCTGGCTGGGGAAGAGGAGGGAGTCCCCAAGTTTGGAGTTTAATCTCCCTGCCCCCCAGAGGAATCTGGCTGAGGGGTCCTGGTTGTACCTACAAGCCCTGCTTGGGACTGTGTTCCTGTCTTCTAATAAACCTTCTGCGTTACTGGCTGGCTGAGAGTCACAGTGAATCGCAGGAAGTGGGGGTGCAGGGCCCTGACTCCCCCTCACTCTGTGACACCCTCCCGCCGCACAGCAGCTGGCTGGGATAGCAGAGGCCCCCCCCTCCCCCCGACCTGCCGTTCCACGTGCAGGCAGCCCTCCCCCTGCAGAGTCACGGCTAGCGCTCACTCCCGCCGCCAGCTCCCCGACTCAGGGGAGGGGACCCGGGGAGACGCTCGGTCTCTCTGGGCCACGGATCCGGACGGTACCGGGGCAGCCCAGGGGCTGATTCTGCGGTGAGGGGCCAAGCGAGTCCATAGCTTGGCAGAGGGGACAGGATGGCGACTGGAGCACTGGCAGTCTGAGCCCAGGGCCAGCCACTGCCCTCACATCGGCCTAGTTGGGTGCCAGGCTGCGGCATCACCCCCTGAAAGAGCAAGCAGCGGCTACTGCCACAGCCAGGATCCTTGAACCAGGGGGCAGCAGGGGGAGCCTGGCACAGCAGAGGGGATGGGGACCCCAGAGCAGAGGGGCTGGCAGCAGGGATGAACCTGGCAGCTCTAGCTATGGGGAGAGGCAGACCCGGGGGGAAACCTGCATGGGCCCAGCCGGGAGGGGGGCACTGGGGGGGCTCCAACTGGCACTTGTCCCCTGACAGCCAGTCAGACCCATTGCTGCCCCCAGAGCCCGTGGGTGCCTGCGGGGGGGCTCACCTCGGTAGAACTCAGCGTTCCCCAGGAAGAGGGTGCTGTTGAGCAAGGCGAGGACCCAGCAGAGGGGCAGCAGGTACAGGACACAGAGGGAGCCCAGCAGCGCCCCATAGAACCTGGGCAAGGAGGGTGCAGGGCTCAGAATAGCAGGAGCACCTCGGCCACACGCCCAGCCCCCATCCTGCACCCCCCTGCCACGCGTACGCAGTCCCCCAGCACCTCCCCCACCGGGCCACGCGCCCAGTGTATGCGCCTCCCCCATGCCACACCTCCCCCCCGGTGTCCCCGGGCCACGTACCCCCCCCCGTACGGGCTGTCACACTCATCCCCCTACAGCTGCACACCCAGAGTCCTTCCCCCCCTCCACTGAAACACAGGGGAGCCAAGCTGGACACCTCCCTTCCTCCCAGGCAGACGGCGCCGTGCCTGGCTCACTGGCTGGGTTTGCAACCGCTCCAGGGGGTCCCCAGCCAGCCCCTGCAGCAGAGGGGACCAGAGGAGAAAGCCCCTGGGCCCACAGGGGGGAGGGGCAGACTCACTGGGACGACAAGGCGGGGGTCTCCCAGTGCAGCACGCGGTACGCCCCCTCGCAGGCACAGCACAGCCAGCTCAGGAAGGCCTCCAGGTGGATCAGGCTGGGGAAGAAATGGGACCGTCAGGGGGTGCCCACCCCGGGCATGTACCCAGCCCCCCAGGCCACAGATCCACCCCGCACAGGACACGCGTGCCACCCTCCCCAGCGGGGATCACAGCCAGGAACTGAACCAGGCCCCGCCCCTCGCCTGCGCAGGGCACTTTGCAGGGCTCCTGGGGACTGTCTCAGCCCGACGCAGCCAGGAAGGCCCAGGCCGGGGCACCGCTGGGACAATAGAGGCAGCCCTGGGGCGACCCCACTGCTCATAGCCAGGGGCTGCCGAGCAGGGCCCAGACGCCCCAGGGCCTGTCTGGCGGGGACCCCTAGTGGGCAGTTATGGAATAGCCCATCCATGGGGCAGTTCCCTGCCCCCACTCCACAGGCCTGAGCCCTGGCAGGGAGCGCGGGTCTCACCCCCAAGTTGGAGTCCCCGTGTTGGGGAGGAAGCCCCCAAGAGCCCCGCCCGGCCGCCCCCCATCCCGTAGGGCCCTGGCGGCTGGACGGGTCCCAGCACTTACAATCTCTTCACTTCAGCGACGGCTTCGTGCCGCGCCAGCCGCACCTGCTGCAGGTCCTCGCGCCGCACGCTGTGGTACCTCTGGCGCACCAGCTCCGACTCCGGCCGGCGGACCCGGCACGTCTCCCGCAGGTAGCCCAGCAGGGCGGGTAGCAGGACCAGCAGGGCGCACAGCGAGAACCAGGCAGCTGGAAAAGCCAGGCCGCGTCAGGCCACCCGGCCCGGAGCAGAACCAGCGACACCCCCGGCCGTGCCCAGGGGCATGAGCCAGTTCTGGCCCGCGGCCCCTCACCTCAGCCA